TTGTTAGTTTTTGCATCTTCCTGCCATGTTCTTCCAACTGCTAATTGGAAGTGCCCAAGTGTCAGCCTCAAATCAAACCCTCCTGACTGTCACAGACTCCTTTTCCCTTCCACCCGTCCCCAGATCCCATACTCCTGGTCACCTCTACCCCTGCGTTCTTTTTCTCCGTAATATATAACAATGTGGTTTTTGTCTCTTTATTGTTTTATTTTTGTGCTGCTTGTTTTCCCTAGAATATTGCACACCAGGCAAGAGCGGCTTGCTGTCTTGTAGTACTATAGTACTACAAGAGATCTATAGTATTGATGGGAGAGAGGAGCAAAGGAATGAATGAGCACTCTGATGGCTGCAAAGTCTGGCTGCGGCAGAGCTGCATCGCGGCTTCTCAGATACCTCTAACTTCCCAGGCCTGCAGAGAACAAGACTTAGACAGAGACATCAGCCATGTGGGATGCCACTAAAATGTCCACCTTGAAACAGCAATCAGTTTGAATTGCTTTTCTGTTGCATTTTTAAAAAATCTTTTTATAGGTACATGATTTATAGTACCTGCATTTTGCAACCATCTTGGAATGGGTACATGTGACGTAATACAGCTTGGTTCTTTTTTTTGCCCTTTCATTGGTACATGTTACAGTTCATAATGATTACCTTCCCCATAGAAAACTGATGCATGTACATAATGCATTTCATTTCTTTTCTCCCCTTCTCTCCTTTTATTTTTCCAGCATCAGATGCATTTATATATCTTGTAAGACCTTATAATGCCTAGATGCAGATTGAAAACCAGACTAATAGATCAAACAGTTGTGTAGATGCATTTTTCCACTCCGGATTACAATACCTTTGTTTTTTTTCTCTGTAGTTTTTAAATGCAAAGATTGTTTTAAAAATTTGAAGCACTTGCATATGTTGTTGGTGGTGCAGCTAATAATTAAGCAGCTAGAAGTCAAACCCTAGAGCTAAAAGTGTTAGTCGTTGAACCTTAAGGCTGGCCTCCAGGGGAAAGGTAAACCCACCCACAGCAAGCTTGCTGGCAGAGCTGGAGTGCGCATGTTTGAGTAGGGACCCCTGGCTACAAAGTTTCCAGGGTTCCACTCTGGGGGATCTCCTCCTGGAGCCCTGCTTGACTGCTCTCTTCTGTTGAGGGTCATTTACCAGATAAAGTTCAGGGCAGAACAGCTGTTTGATAGGAAGTGCCCCTAGAGCTACCATAACAAACTGGACCTTTTGCCAAGATATGTTATTCATTAACAGAATAAAAGCAAAACCCTTTCTAGCCCAGTGCCTGAACATTTGATTGGATTAGCTCTTGATGCTTTGAAAATTAAAAGTATAGCTTTTATGCAGTTTGCCTAATCATAAACTGAGATTTCTATGTTTTGGGTTGTAAGTATGTTACAGGATAAAGTGTTTGTTTGGCCCTCTGCACAATAAATAGGGTAATTTTTCTGCCTTTATACATATTCAGTAAGAACACATGTGACATATTTAATACGATAGATGATGAGAAGAAGCTGGTTTTGGGCCAGCTTGGAAACCACAGCCCATATCATAACTTCTAAGGAACCTCGGAGGTCTCTGAACAGCCTAACGTGCTTGGTAGTAATTTAAAAAAATAAATAAGTCAGCCTTCCTGAAACCAGCTGGTTTCTCACAGAATACTAAATTAAAATATTTAACACAGGATACAACTTCTCTTAAGCTTCTCTACTAAAGATCACCTAAGACCCCTAACAAAAATTTCCTTGAAGTGAAATCGTGTTACCCAGTGTTCTCCAGAGAAGTAGGATTTGTGGGCACCCAGGAAAGCCGCTGGTGTAATTCAGCCTTCTTTGCTATGTTCAGGCTGTCAGTGGATTGAAGGGTCACCACTTTCATCCAGGAGGACCATCTGCTGAGGCCCAGACCCAAAACATCCTTATCCCCAAGTACCTAGAAATATGGTTCATTTGGACACCCTAATCCACTCCAGTTGCCACAGAAAAAAAAACTATCACTTAAATATTTCTTGATTAAATATAATACATCGGTAATACATATTTGTTTCCATGTGCCTAAAAGAAAGTTTAATAGTTCAAATAGTTTTAATATTGCTAAGCAAAGCTTACGTGTTTACTGACTGACTATTATTTTAGTATTACAAAATGTCAAAGATCTTAACATGATCTGGGTAAGAGTGAGTCATCCCTTGTCCTCTCTGTTGTAGAGTAAATGATGTTTGTAATCTGTGAGAACTAGAGAAACCACATAGTGGTGGCACAAGTCTGTAATCCAAGCATTTTGGGAAACGGAGGCAGGAGCATCTCAAATTTGAGCCAAGCCAGGGCAACTTAGCAATTTAAAGAGACCTTCTCTCAAGATTTAAAAAAAAATTGAAAAATGACCTGGGAATGTAACTCAATGCTATGCTGTGGCTATGACTTCCAGCCAGATGGCCATCTTGACCGGCACATATGTGCCCAGCACTTACGCATTTTCATATGTTTAAATTGTAAAGAATCGTTTGCTTAATTTTGTCATTCTGCAGAATTGTACTATGCCAAAAGATTATCGGTATTTTATTCTCTGCTTCTACTTTAACTTGCTCTCATTTGTACTCTGCTAGTCAAGATGAGAAAACGATTAAAACCATGAAAAACAAACTTAAAATTATAAATACCACCTCCAGTTTTGTTGGGAAAATCATTAAAATGTGCTTGCATGTCAGCTAGCTTGCGTTGCATAGAGAAAAAAACTTTAGATCTTTCTAAGAAAAAGGATTTAAAATTGAAAATTATTTTTTAGTTTTTTTTAAATTAAGAGCTCAGTTTTCAATACATTGGCCTTTTGTGAGAATTATACAGAATGGTTTTTAGAAAAATGCGTATCAGTTTTTCTGTGGCAGACACTTTGTAGACCTGTGTGTTAATCGCTTTCAGTGGATTTGAAATAAAAGTAGCTCATTTTTTCCACGAAAAGCAGTTAAGGTTGAAATGATGTTAATGTGATAAACACAAGAGGAGGGAATTCAGAGTAGGAAAGAATTGCCGTGTGGCTCATGCATGCTGTAGTATCTCGTTTTTTCCAACGCTCCTGTTATTTTGTCAGCATGTTGTCTCTACTTCATACAGCAAGTAGAATGGCAGAGAGCACAGCTAGTGTTGAAGCACTTTCCTGGCATGTACAAGGTCCTGGGGTCCCATCTCCAGAATCACCCCCAAAAAGTGCAGGAGGTAGGGAGAGACGTGAAAGAACCTGGAATGTAAGGTGCTGAAGTCATGTGCCGGGTCTTAGCTGGTGTGAAGCAAGAACTGAAATTCAAAATCCAGCTGATGCTGATTGCAAAGTAGCGTGTGCATTTTGCTCCTTTTCCCATTCATTGCCAGGGTGAGGTGGCATCCAGTTCGCTTGGGTGCCACATTCATGTTGCAGGGGATCTGGGGAGACGCCCCACCTCCTTCCTTTTGGATGCGACTTTGGGCAGATACTTCAGTGATTTTTGGTTTTTGAAAAATCATAATCAACAATTGAAGTATAAGGAAAGAATTCATCAGAATGAATGCTTTCTTTTTTTGTTGTTATTGTTTGTTTGTTTGAGACAAGATCTCACTGTGTAGTTCAGGCTGGCCTTGAGCTCACTTGTGTCTGTGGCCCAGGCTGACTTCAGACTCCCGCCTCTCCCAGGTGCTGGACACATGCACCCACATTAATTATTTAGCAGCACAGCTTTCTGGTTTCTGTTAATATCTTGAAACCTTTAAGTTATGATCCTAGACATTTCCCTAAGCATATATAGAAGACACATGACTTAGGTTGTAGTCTCAAGATGATTTGGTTATAATTCTCATTCAAGTCTTTTTTGGGGTGTCCATCCCAAGTATAAATACCTAAGTAAAGAGGTGAGAAAAACGAAGAGATCATTTGGAAATGGATGACATTTGAATAGAATGTTTAAATTGATTTGACCGGGAGAAGACAGTGAAAGCATATTCTTTCCTTTTTAGTCAAGCATCTTTTTTACCTTTGTAGTCGAAATCTTTTTTGCTTCAGGCTCTCAGATACTCTGAATTCTCAGCAGTTACTTCTGATCCTTTGGAAACCTCCCTTTATAGACATTATACTTCACTTGCTCATGAGTTAACGTATTTGCTTTTATGTTATGCTCTCCAATTTTATGAGTATTTATGTTTCCACACAATATAGCAATATATGTTACAATTCAATTACTGCGTTGCCAGTATTAGTTGAATTTGAAATAAAAATCACTTTTTTTGATAAGTAGTACCATGAATTGTCAACAGTTGCCAAATTTGGGAAAGTACAGAGGCCTTTTGTGATTTCATAAATGCAGCTATTGACATTTATGTTACCTTTTATAGTGTTTCAAATACTCTGTCAAGAAGAATGGCTTTGAAATTCAGCTCTGTGAAACACATTATACTGTTTCTCAGCAGTTTAGTTATTGTACAGTATGCTGAATTGCAGATTTCTTTGGTCTTTTTTTTTTTTTTTCTTTCATGGTACTGGGAACTGAACTCAGGACTTTTGCACTGAGCTACATCCTCAACCTTTTTTGTAAACATGTCTCATCATTAAGTCACCAAGTTGTCCAGGTTGGACTTAAACTTGGGATCTTCCTCAGCAGAAACTCAAGGCATGATATTGATAATGGTGTTTACTTTCAAGATTAGAAAAAATCTAATCTAGCAAAGCACAAGAATTCGAGAACACATGTCCATGTTAAGCCCCTGTGCCTACCTGTTCTGCAAAGAATGTTTAAGGCTTTAATTGCAAAATGGGCTGTTTTAGATTTTGCTTTCCTCTATCCTCGAATGAAGCGGAAATCATCCTTTCCTGTGCTGCGAAATGTCTCGTTGTGTTCTCTCAAAAAGCATTAACATCTTTTGTGTGCTTCTCTACTAAGTTCTTTGTCCTGGGGAGCAAATGAAAATATGGCTTTCTTAAAAAATAATCGGAAACTCTGCACTTCTCACAACTCCTTCCTTTCTGCCTTGCAGTTCCTACCACAGCAGCCAGCACCCCGGATGCCGTTGACAAGTATCTCGAGACCCCTGGTGATGAGAATGAGCATGCCCACTTCCAGAAAGCCAAAGAGAGGCTGGAGGCCAAGCACAGGGAGAGGATGTCCCAGGTAGGTCCAATCCTTCCTTCCTTCCTTCCCAAGAAGTCTGGCCTTGCTTTTGCTTCAGCCTCCCCAGGGGCCCAGCGACTTAATCTTTAAAGTTGCAAGGTTTCAATTTTAGACGTTTGATGAGAGGATACTGGTGAGGATTTTGTGGGTCCTCGCTGACCCTGCTACCTAGGGAAGATAGCACTCACTATTAAATTATATCTACAGAATTCTATTTTGAGGAAAGTTACTTTGTGGGTAACAGTGGGAGAGGAAAGATCTGTTCAGTTCAGTAAACTTTTTACCAACTCTCCAAAATACTCGTATGTATCACTCAATACAATGTTTGTCTTAAACGTACACAGTACGATTCAGCTTTTAAAAAGCCTTGAGCTTATTACTCCATGTTTATGTAGCGCCCAAAACTATCATGTTATAAACTAAAATTCACCAAAATGTACTTTATTAGAGATGAGTATTTTTATATTAAATATCAAGTTATTATAACTTTGAACCCACCATTTCTTACAGGGGAATTCATGGAGCCATAGAAAATTAAAGCTAAACTGAAAGACAATGGTCATTTGACCTATACTCATAAGTGATAGAAAAAGAAATAAAGATCCAAGAGACCAGCTTCCCACCTTAGCACAACGTGACATAAGTGGTGCAGACGTGGCACTTGAAACTCAGTCTATTGCTGGACATGGTGGCACATACCTCTAATCCCAGCACACGAGAGGCTGAGGTTGGAGGGTTGCTGTGAGTTCAAGGCCAGCTTGGGTTACATAGTGAGCTCAAGGCAAGCCTGAACTGCATAGTGAGACCCTGCAAAAAAAGAAAAAAAAATCCATGCATTTCTAGTTTCCAGTGCAGTGATTCTCCAAATAAACTGCAGTGCAAACCTTTTTATGTTTAGCAAGTTCTTTAACAAAATTTAAAAATAGCTGGTTAGTGTAACATGATTACTTCATGTACCATTTAAGATCTACCTACTGTCATTAAAGAATTTGAGCCCAGTGGCACAGGCCTCATTCAGGCAGCACTTGGTGTTTACCAACTAGTTTTCTAGTTTGTGTCTGCAGAGCTAAATGTGAGGAAATACAGAGAACATGAGTGAATAAAAATCTTGGATTACAGCCGTGGTTCACCGTTTAGCGTTAGCTGTCTAGAGGGTGGGACTATTTTTGTCATACCTAGCACACCTAAAGGATCTCTTGATAGACATTAAATATGATTCACAAAGTAATCTATCGTATATTTTCCAAGATCTAATTAAGTCTTTAGTACATTATCACCATGTCTTTTTATTTTCTGTATTTCTTTTTCCAGGTACTGGAGTTTTTAATCAGATCTTATCCATAGGCAAGCACTCAATCACTGAGCCACATTCCCAGACTAACTGACTTTCTTTCTCTGTATTTTTTCTTTGGTTTTTATTTTTATTTTCTTTTTCTTTCCTCTCCCTCCCTTTTTTTCTTTCCTTCTTCCTTCTCTCCCTCCCTCCTTTCTTTACTAAAAAAATTTTAGTTAAGCTGTCCCGGCTCATCTCCAATTTGTAATCTACAGAACTTTTCCTTTCCCTTCCTTCTCCCCGTTTTCTCTCCCTCCCTCTCCCCACCCCTCTCTCTCATCCTTTTTTGATTTTTAAAAATTTTTAACCTCCAATTTGCAGGTTTTTTGTCTTAGTCTCTTTTCTGACTTGAAACTGTTCTAACTCTAAGAAGGACACCACACACACACACACACACACACACACACACACACACACAGACACACACACACACACAGTGTTCCTAGAGATAGCCATTGAATGACCCGTGAAGCTTGTCTGTCGTATTCAGACCACATAATCAAAAGCTCAGACCCCCAGGTAACTTCCTTATCTAGCTCTCAGGATGCTCTGGTCACTATACTACCTTGCAGGAGAGGTCAGACCATTAGGGGACCCCCAATACCCCAGAGCATCCAAATTGTTTCTCAAACTAATTGCTAAACCTGTCCACCCACCTTGCCCATCCTTTCAGTGCAATCCACAGTTAAGGCTTTTGTCCCTGTCTTTTCTGCAATCCCAGTGCTGCTCGCTTCATGGCCCTGTGTGTCCCAGGATGCACCCGCCTTTAAGAAATCATGAAACAGAGCATCTGCTTGGTAGTAGTTCCTTCCTGAGCACTTGACTTCAGCATATCAGAAGAGTAAAACCTAAATTTTTGAAGAAGAACTAATAATGTGTCTAAAAAGGATCGACACAATTACTTAAAAAAAAAAAGATGACTAATTGGAATACTTGGGTCTACTTTAGCATAATAACATAAAGAGGAAAAAAATATATAACAATAATACTTTTGGCTCTGGACTATAAACTTGTAGTTCTAATGGTTGCCCGTGAGGAAAGCTGAAGAGCTAGCTGGGGTGGAACAGTGAGATTTCCTCTGACAATATTCCTTTGCAAAGGACAAGGTTTTCTTTAGGGAAGTTGCAGGTAGGTATAGAATCATTAAGGCCACATAGGAAGACTGAGAGTAGAATTTCTTGCTACTGAAATATTCTTTTGTAAAGTTAAGTCTTCCCTCGACTTCTGATGCTTTCACAGGCTTTCCAACAGCCCTCAAAAATTCAGGTCTGCTGGCACAGTGACGCATGACCATAATCCCAGTATTTGGGTGGTTGAGGCAGGAGAATTGCTATGAGTTCAAGGCCAGCCTCGGCTACATAGTGAGTTCAAGGCCAGCTTGCCCAGAAGTCCAAAAGAAGATTAACAAAGTCACCACTGATCACTCAGTCTGTCACCCCCAGTGGTCACTGCTGCACCTGAGGCCAGCCCTCCGATTGCTTCTGTCATCTCAGCTGCTGGCTTGCTCTGTCCAGACCCTCCTTACCCGGTCATTTGGGCTCCCTTTGCTCTCAGCCTTGACCTCCCCTACTCTGCTGCAAAGTGACAGGTCTCACCCATTCCTTCCACTCCCGTGAGTTCTCAGAGTGGAACAGGCAATGATTTGCCTTTTGTTTAATTGTAAATATTTGTTCCCAATTTTTATTAGTGATCTTTCGGTATATATGCCTGATACCTCTGGCTGCAATGTAACCCTCTTTTAGTCTCTAGATGTTATATAAGTCTTTCTAGGCTTGTGTTTCATTCTTGGACCTATCATTATTTTGAAAGCAAATTTTTGTAACCAATGGATTTTTCTTTTGTGTATCAGAATTACTGTGATCCTATTAAGGCAAGGATTGTACTAACTTCAAACATGTTAGATGTCTTTTGAAACAGAAACTTTATTTTTAGCACGTTATCTGTTTAACCCTGTCCCAGTCTTTGTAATTTTTAATAGATTTCTTCATCTTCTACTCATCAGATTTACCTGAGATAACTTAGCAAATGTTATCCTAAAGAAAATTCAGTCTTTTACCATTTAACTGGTTACAAGAATGTGAGATGCCAGAGTTCAGTGTTTATTGTCGTAAACTGTGGTTCTCAATTCTGGGGACTTTGTGTCTTTGAACTTACCCGCCTCATAAATCTCTGTTTAGTAGCGATCATTTTTCTCTGCATGAGACAGCCGAGTCTTTGGAAGACCAGCAAAGCCAGAGGAAATTGATACCTCTGTGCATGCAGTGGAAAATTGCTTTATACCAATATACCCAGTAGTTCCAAGCTCCAGATTCTGGGAGCTCCACATTTAAAACTTTTGCTTTTTAAATTGATTTTTATTACAGCCTTTCTTACTTATTTCCTTAGAAACACAGAGGATTTGAGGGGTATTTTGGTAGTGGTGGTGGTGGTGATTACAGCTCTAAACCTTTTGTTGCTATATGTTACAAGTAGTCTCTAGCAAGTATGAAGAAGCAAGTGAACAGTGTGAAAGTGCTTTTATTATTTACCTATTTAATATAGTTTCAGTGGATACCTAAAATGAAGTTCTTTAGGATGAAAACTGACTTGACTCCAAGCTTTTTATTTTGAAGATGGCAACATCTCAAGGACAGCTCTTTTATTGTTACTAAGTATAAACAAACTTAGCTCTCCTGGTAGATTCCCCGTTTTGAGGTGGCAGAGTCAGTAGTAGGGTGGGTGCGTTAATATCCTCTCCTTCTCCATTTGTTACTTACATGACCGTCAGAGTTTATCTCTTAATCTTGTTCATAAAATAAGGATGGCCATGCCTAATCTCAGTCTAGTGTGAGGAGACATTTTAAATTAGATAGAATGTTGAAGCATTTAGTCCAGGTACCTCAGGAAACATTGTTACTGTACCAAGTGGAAGCCCTTGTTCATCCTACAGACCGTATCCATTTCCAGTAAATTCTAGGGTGAAGGCTTAATGGTCCATTTTTTTTATTTGTTGGTGGGGTAGGATGTTGATAATTGTTCTATAAAATCAAAATTTGAGTTTATCTCTGTATCAGTGCTTATTTTCAGTATGCTAGCTAAAAAAGATCTTAATTATTCTGTAGAGCCCCAAGTCAAGGCTGAAAGTCCAGGTTCCGAATGTGTAAATTAACATGGTAGACATGTGACGGTAATGTGGGGGAAATCATTTTATTTTTTTACATGCCAGTAAAACACTTGGTTCCTTTAAGAGTCCTTCCTTGCCTGTGAAATTTCTGAGAGACTATGGTCATTGTGGACATTTCAGTATAGGAAACAGAAGTCTTTTACTGCAAGATTATCATACCTGTAAAGCAAAGGTAAACTTCAATATCATCTACTTCATAGACGCCCTTTTGTGACTGGGACAATATGATCATTTTGCATAGGTGCTGTATTCTTGTTCCTTGTATTTCTGCAACATTCCACCCCTCACCCTGCCTTCTTTTGTGGTTTTTTTCCCCCCTCTGCAGTACTGATGATTGAGTTCAAGGCCTCACATTTAGGTACAATTCCATCCCTTATTTATATTTTCTTTTGAGACAGAGTCTCATTAAACTGTTAAATTCCCCAGACTGGGCTCAAACTTATAATCCTCTTGCCTCAGCTTCCTATAATGCTGGCATTTTCCCCAATTTTAATGTGAACCTTGAGATGACTATTAATATGCTGTTTATATAAAGAAAATTAATTTTATTTTATTTTTGGCTAAACTTCGCTAAAGCAAAAAGGGCCTTGTGTGTTATATGAAGTATAACTAGTCTTACGAATTTTGCAAAAATTTAATGCTAGCAGACAATTACCTAAATAGAAGCAAAATAGTGATTGGGTCTGGTATTACCTCATAGAAGTTCTCACTGAGAACTTATTTAAACTTTTTCTTTGTGGTTTTGAAGGATAGCACAGCAATCAGTTCCTTAGGAATATTTTATTATATGTGCTGTTGAAGTGAGCACTCCTTAAGAATAAATAATAGGCTCCTACAGCACAGAAATGAAATTTCTCACACTTTGGAAGTATACAAATTATGCAATACAGGTACACATCTGGCGGTAGGCCAGTGTTTTTCCTTACTTCATTGTTCTTCCTTCACTAGACCTAGCTCAGGAAGGCTGCACTTAAGTTCTGTGGATGACCTGGTGGTGCAGTTGAAAGGGAAAAGACAGCAATAGGTTGTGAGACTTTATTTCACATTTAGTTCATGTATTCATCAGGTAGATGCGATGGCTGAGAGTAGAAAGCTTTACTTTTCTTCAAGTAAGATTCACTTGGTTGCTAAATCAGTGTTGCTTTTTGCTATGTTCAGAGTACTATAAGGTACATATTTTTGACCTTTCTGGAGGGATTTGAGATAGTAATTCTTGCTATTTGTGACTGAAGTTGATAAGCAGAAGGTCCTGAATGCTCATCACTTCCACGAGGAAGGGATCTTAGGATTTCAAAGATGTCTTTCTGTCTTTCCGCCTTTCCCCTGTGATGCATTTTCGGGTACATTATATTCATGACACTTGTATGTATTTACAAATGTTATGTATGCTGGTTTCCCCAGTACTAAAAATACTAAGTTGAAATGTTTCAAACTTGCCATCATGAAAGGCTAAAGCCATTGTATTAACTTACTAATGAAAGACCTTGCTGGGGAAGTATATACCTCTTACGAATAGTTGGTATTTGTTCACATTAAGTAAGTTGACTTCTGTCTGTTTCTCAAGGAAATTAGAAAAGTTCAACCTGGCTTCAGAAGGTTACTTTTTTGTAATGTGGACATTTGTGTTCAGGATACTGCTATGAGAAATTAGTTAACCTTGTGAGAGGTCAACTATTTTTTACATGAGAATGTGTATGTAATTTTTAACAATATTTTAACGATGCAAATGAAGTGTGTATGTTCAGTTTGAAGAAGAGTGATAATTTCTGTTTGTTTTATCATTTGTGTAGGTCATGAGAGAATGGGAAGAGGCGGAACGGCAAGCCAAGAATTTGCCCAAGGCCGATAAGAAGGCTGTGATCCAGGTAAGCTGTGACTCATTCCTTACCAAGCACGATGGGAAGGGCACCCAATAGAGCCTGTTCAGAGAAGGCCGGGTTTACCCACAGCTGCTGGAACTGGATGTGTGATGGTCATAATCCAGTGAAGTTGGTCTATGCCCAGTCATTGTGCAACATTTGAATTGCTCAAGCCCGACCTTCTATTTGCTCCTAGTTATTTCAAAGTATAATTAATTGCTGTAGTATTCAAATCATTACTTGCAATCTACTTTTTCTTAATAATAATGCATCTTTTTAGTTGCCCTAGTTCTCTGCCTCTTCTCCCTCTGGGGGAAATTACGTGAGAATTTGAATTTTGGAATGAAACTATCCTCCAAATTACCTTACATAAACAAATTGTCTTGGTTATTTGCTGAAAGTGCTTTGAGTAACAAGAATTTTTTTAAAAAAATATGTAATGTAAGAGCTCCAGTAAATTTATGTGGCATCATCTTGAGTCAAATCAGTCTTCATACAATAGTGATTTCCAGTGAGATCCAAGGTTTGATTGGAGGGTTGGAAATTGTAGGAAAGAAAGGTAATCTATAAAACGTATAAAATCAGTCAAAATGTGGGAATGACTATGTAATCTTCAGAATGATTTTAATCATTTGAATCATAGAATATTATAATATCCCTTTAAAAACTCTTTTATTTACTGCCCTGTCTTACATGTTCTCATGTGATGTGTATGTCTGTGATGGCAGCATTTCCAGGAGAAAGTGGAATCCCTGGAGCAGGAAGCAGCCAATGAGAGGCAGCAGCTGGTGGAAACCCACATGGCCAGAGTGGAAGCCATGCTCAACGACCGCCGCCGCCTGGCCCTGGAGAACTACATCACTGCCCTGCAGGCTGTGCCGCCCCGGGTAGGTCTCACGTGACCTCGCTTGAGGTCCTTGTTCAGTGGGTGGGACTTGGGACTGGAGGCCAGGAAAGTGGGAGAAATGCCACCAGCACCTTATCTACAGGAGTGGCTTCTATTCTTTTCACCCTGAAGGTCATAGGCACAGGGTCACAGAGCCATCTGTGTATGCTTTATTAGTGGATGTTTGCAACACGTGCATTGCAACATATGTTCATTATGGAGTATTGGTGCATAGTGCATCTTAATTGCCTTCTCATCTTCCTCAGCATCCCTTTCCCACCCCTCAACCCCATGTCCAAGATCCCTCACATCACAGCACTGAGAGACGCTGATGTAGAAAGATCACAAGTTTCAGCACAGCCATTTGTACTGTTAGGTTTAGACACCTACACTTCTCCCTAAAGCACTCAGACAGGTTTCCTAGGAACCTAGTGCAACCTGAGGTCACAGCAACTGGTGATGTAAAGCCCGAAACACATAAACTCAGGATGTGTTAGTGCTTTCAGGCTGCCCTAACAGGACACTCTAGACTGGGTGGCATGAACAGCAGAAACTCATTTTACCATTCTGGAGCAGACAAATACAGATCAAGGCACCCACATCAGAGGAGGGCCTGCCCCCAGCCTCATAAACATGTTTATTGGTACACAAGATGGGGAGCCCTTTGGGGCTTCTTCTATAATGGCACTGACCCCAATCTGAAGGACTCCAAGCTCGTGACCTAATCATGTCCCCAGGCCACTCCCATCACACCGGACATCAGGTTTTCACTGGTGAGTCTGGTGAGAAGACACAGACATTCAGACCATAGCAATGATATTAAAAGTAACTTAGCCCAGCTCTTTCATTATGTAAGTGATGAAATTGAGGTCAAGAAAGCAGGAGACTTGGCTGAGTTATAATTGTCAGTGCCCCTGAGGGAACTAGAACTGGAATTTCTGGCTCAGAGCAGTGGCTGTAGTCTCCGGCGGAAGCCTGAGCCAGGCGTGATGTCAGCAGTGAAGAACTTACTTGTGGTTTTCAGTGGATGCTGCCCTTAGAAGGCTTCCCAAGTGGTGCCGGCATAGCTTCCTTCACCAGCACTCAAGGGGAGGACTGTCTTTGAATAGAAGGCATGTTCTGAGCAACAGTGTATATTTTCTGTCCTTCACTGCGGGAAGGGTATGAAAATCTCAGCAGTAGCTGTAGGTCAGTCCATTTCTCTTTTCTGTATTAGTGGTTTTTGCTTTGGGTACTTCGAACTTCTGTGTTTAGGTGTGTAAATATGTAGGGTTGGTCTACGCTCTTCCACCTTCCCTTTTCATTATGAAATTACCTTTTAACCCCCAGTAATCTATTTTACTCTGAAGCCTACTTTGTTTAATGTTAATAAAATTGTTCCAGCTTTCTTTTAATTAATGTTAGCATAGTGTATTTTTCAATCCTTTTATTTAACTTGTTTGTCTTTGCACGCTTGCAGTGCATTTTTTATAAGCAGCATATATATTTGGGTCTTGTCTTAATTGGGAAAACTGTACATTTAAGAAGGTTACTGATCCACTTACATCTAAATCTGTCATCATGTTATTACTTTTCTATTTATCTGATCTCTTCTTTCATTCCTCTGCTTTTAGGCCAGGTGGATTTTTATGATTCGTTTGTACTTTGTTGGTTTACAACTATTTTGTTACTTCAGTGGTTACATTAGAATTTACAGAAAATATTTTTAATTTTGCAATTCAAGTGATAATGTACTACTTCGCAAAGAGATCCTTATTTGTAAAGAGACCCTTACAACAGTATGCAATTGTTTTTAAGTATCCATGCGAGACTGGTTCTAGGACTCATTCAAATATCAAAATTGACAGTGTTCAAGACCTAAACTTGAAATGACATCACATTTGCATACAATCACATTTGCATTCAGTCTGTCCGTTAAATCATCTCCAAATTATTTGTAATGCTTATTGTAACGCAACTGCTTCTTAAATAATTGTTAAACTATATTATTTAGGGAATAATGACCAGAAGAAGATAAGGTCTGTACATTGCCATTACAGGCACATTTATTTTCTGAATATTTTCAGTTTGAATCCACAGATACTGAAGGCTGACTTCCATTTCCCCTTGCTCTCCTGTTATTTTTTAACCACTCATTGTCTTATCTTAAATAAGAAATAGTAGTTTGTATATTTAGCTATGTAGTTATCATTTCCAGTTTTTTTAATTCATTATACAGCCACACTTGGTATTTTCTTTTTACCCAAAGGATTTTCTTTAAAATATCTTACAGTACATATTGGTTGATGATAAATTTTTCTAATTTCTTTGTTGAAAAGTATCTTAATTTCACTGTGTCATCTTTACTGGACATGGAATTCCAGATTGAGGAGTTTTTTTTCTCCCCATTATTGTAAGAGTGATGTTTCCTTGTCTTATTTGTGTTACTTTCAACAAGAAAACTGACCCGGAATAAAATCCAAGGAAGCAAGGAATTAAGAAATTTGGAGCAAAGGCTTTTATTTCAGGACTGGCAACACAGCCCCCCAGGATCGACCCAGAGACTGCGCGCCTCACAGACTAAAGGAGGGATTTTTAAGGCAAGGAAAAAAAAAACCCACAGAGCTGTTAAGCTGTTGACTTAGTCCTGGCAACATCTGGAAACTGTAAAGCTGTGGACTTAGTTCTGATAACATCACTATCTCTGAATAGCACATCTACAATAACATGCGGAAAAGGAAGTAGAGAGTTGGAGGGGGAACTTAATTATCTCGGGACAGCTCTTTAGCACTAACAGGTGGGAAGGGGTAGAAAGTTACAAGAAGCTGAAACTTAAGTTTTTGTTTTTGTTTTTTTTTTTTTAATTTTATTTAAGGAGAAAAAAGAAAAAAAAAACAGAAAAAGGGTACAAGTTATACCGAATTTCAGAAAAAGTAAACAGTAGGAAATCACTAGTTAATTACATATTGTCATCTTAGAAATAGTGGTTCAAGTTACAGAATTGAAGCATATAGAGAGGACTTTCAAACAGTGAGACTGCAAACAGTTTTGTTCAGTGATCCAACAAAATTCAGTAATATGGTAATCTGTCTTATACATTTAAAAATATATGCAGTTACATCGTTTAGAGCACTTTCTTTTCCTTTCTTTTGTACAATGACAATTACACATTTTGGGTTTTATTACTCCCACAGTTTTTATTACTTTTTTTTTTTTTTTTTTTTTAAGAAAGTAAAACCAAATGTGACATACCAGGACAGAGTCAGTCAAATCAAAAGGTTGGACATAATACATAATATAAAAACAAAATACAAGGTGATCAACAGTGGTTACCATAATGCCTCTTGTTATCTTAAAAAGAATTGCCTATATCATCAGTTACAATAAAATTGAACAAAATAGTAAAGAATAAGACCAATAAAACCAAAACATTGGAGACATTAGAGGACTTCAAAAGAAGATAAGTTTTTACAAAGATTAGAAACTTAATCCTATTGGCGCATACAGATCAAGAGGAGGCACATTGGTTAGAGTTAAGCCATAACAGTAATGATGATCTCTAGCTTCTGTAAGTAACATGTCTTACCAATTTTGAGAATTTTTCTCCCCTTTTTCTCTGACTGCTTTTAAGATTTTTGTCTTTAGCACTAGTTTTGAGCAATTTAATTATACTGTGATGTGTTGTAGTTCCATCTACCTTTAATGCCACCTGGCTAATTTTCATCTTGGCATCTCATGTAGGTTAGCTTTCATATCTACAGACTGAGTTTGGGCTCTCTTCTCTTCCCCCAGTACATTCTGCATATTAACTTTTTAACCTTCTGAATGTTTCAGAAACTTTGAACATCCTCCTTTGTTACTTCAGATGTCTTTGTCAGCTTTGGCTCAGTCTTGATTTATCTTCTTCATATTTTCCTGCATCATTTCATGCTCAGGAGGTTTTTATTGAATGGCACATATTGTGAACTTTATCTTGTGGAATGCTACCTGGTTCTGTATATTGTAAATATTGTCAAGCTTTGTTTTGGAATGTAGTTAAGTTACCTGAAATGACTTTGATCTGTTTGGAGTCAGTGTCTTTTGATTTTTTTTCCTTTTTTCCTTTTGTGGATCAGAGCAGTTTTCTGCCTATACTGTACTTCATTATTCCCCCTTAGTGAGTCAAGACCCATTTGAGTAATCTGCAATGAATGAGGAATGTCCCCATCTGCCTGACAGGACCAGTCCTCTTCTGATCCCTTGAGAACCCTAGGCAGTGGTACTACCGATCTTCTGAGGTGAATTTTATTCCCCAGCCTCAGTTTCTTCCATGTGCATGCTCTCATCATCAGTCATCTACAATTCCAGGGTTCACTCTGCAGATCTGCCGGTTCCCTTTCACGGCAACTCTTGTACCAGTTCTCAGTGGGGTAAATCTGGTCTCTTGGGTCTCCCTGGAATCCTCAACTCCTGGCAGCCTCAAGGCTCTGCAGTGGTTTCCTGCCTTGGACCTTGTCCCGGAAATCCCCAGAGCTGTGAGCTTGAATAGTTAGAGGGCCTTATCCACTCTGTTTCCCTTTTCTCAAGGTTCCTTTTCTTCCCTGTCTTGAAGTCTAATACTTTGCAGAAGCTGTTCAAATCTAGTTCCTCTTACTGGATCTTGGCTAGCAGTGCCATTCTGTGTGTATGTCATGTAGCTAAACCAAATTGCCACCTCCTTCTGCTGATGTGGCTCCTTTTGTATTTGTACATAAAGTTATACTGCAGAAAGCCATGAGGAGCCATAAAAGAGCTCTTGGCATTCCTCCTGGTAGCAAGAGGACATTACTGACCCTGTTGTACCAATGACATCAGTGAGATCTTGGGAGATGGAGTGGCTGGTTCAGGGTGACACCACTAGCAGGGGACAGAACAGAGCTGTGAATCACAGTCACCCACTGCAAAGCCTTCTCACTAGTCTGTATTTCCTCTCTGAACAAAGCAGTTTTGAACAGAATGTCCACATTAGCATTTTCATTTCCCATTAGAAAAATTCTTTGTCCT